TTGCCTCAATCACCCCTCAAAATGCTTATTACAGCCTATAAGGAGGCCTAAAGAGGTGAATTCATACATGCAAACCTCCAAAAATATAATAAAATGAGAAAGAAAAACAACATCATAAAAAATGTCATGGCAACAGCCAAAGAACTCTATGAGATGTCATGTAATTATAAAACTAATAAAGTAACAATTCATCAGGAGATTGAAAAAAGAGGGACGCCTGAGTGGCTCAGTCGGTTAAGCGTCTGCCTTCGGCTCAGGTCATGATCCCAGGAACCCGGGATCGAGTGCCGCATCAGGCTCCTTGCTAGGCACAGAACCTGCTTCTCCCTCTGCCTGCTGCTCCCCCTGCTTGTGCTCTTTCTCTCTCCCTCTCTCTCTGTCAAATAAATAAAATATTTACAAAAAAAAAAAAGAAAAGATCACAATTAACTTTTAGGACATCAAGTTTTAACCAAGAAACATTTATCACTTCCCTAAAACTTTCTAAAATCTATTAAAAATACATTATGTGTACTAGCATACACATAATACATTACTACTTTCTTGGTAATTCAGAAACTTATACTAGTTCACAACCCAACTGTATAGAGTAGAAGGTGTTAAAAAAAAAAGACTCAATACAGATCTAAGTAAAATATACTGACCCACACAGAAGCTATTTTTTAAATAAATTATAAAATCCTAGTACTTTAAAATGTCAGGTTGTATAATAATTGACAGATAATCCATCTGATCCCATCACAACTGAATAAGAAGATGCCCAAAGAGCTTCTCTGTCCACATTTTAGTAAAAAAGCAGAATCTGGAGCAAGAAGAGTAAAGAAGCAAAGAGAATATACTTAAAGAGATATCCAGATCATCAATAACTGTACACACAAAAATATGACTTAAAAATAACTTTGTAGCCAATACTACACAAAGTGATATAAAAGCTATCACCAGAAGAAGGGAGTTAGTTGTATACAATATGCTAGAAGCTCATCATAGTTGCATTCTTTAAATCTATTTCTAAAGTCTATACAACAGATTTATAGCAAATACAAAATACATCATACAGGAGCATGGAACTTGTCTCACTCGAAAATGACTGAAAGAGAAATCCATTTTCTGTTGAGGAAGATTTTACATGTAAGCTCTCAATTCTTTACCTCACCATAACTCACTGAGTCTTAAAATGTGAAGTCACTGTCCTCACTTTCCACCTGAATAAAATTTCCTCTAACAAACCCAGGAATCCTTCCCCTAAAGTTTATCTTACTTAAATCAGTGCCACAAGTAAGAATGTTCAAATAGCTTTCTATTTTGTGTAAAATAGCAAGTTTATCTTGTAACATTCTAGATGCAACTAATATTTCAAAATTTTTAAAGAAATTTTCCTATTAAAATCTAAAGGACAAAAATTAAAAATAAACCATAATACCTGCAGAAACTATGTACAAGCATTATATCTTTATAGTTAGATCAAGGACACAAAAGCTGTGTCACTGAAATATACAAAGACAATGCTGCCATCTAAAGGCCAAGACAGAATAGGAAAAATACGTATACTCAAATACTGCCAGTATTTAAAAACAGTCAATTTGATACACTGTTAAAGAAACACTATGCTATTATTATTTTTAGACTATACAACCAAGCTCTAAAACTCTTGAGAAGATACAATATAATAAGAGAATTAGCAAAATAATTTCATTAATGATCGATATCTGTACAGGTCAAATTCTGTTGGCATCCTTCCAGACACAGCATTCTCCTAAATTATCTCTGTTGGTTGTTAACTTAAAAAATCTTGCCTATTTAGTGATGTTTAGTGATATTTCCTGCCTATTATTACATATGCAGTATAATTTTATAAATATATAAAAGTATATAAGTATTATTTGCCTTTAACCAGACTATTATTTCTATTTACCCCATATAAAACATTAAAGGACTAATAGTTCTCAGAACGAAAATAACTGAACTACTTAAAATTACAGCTTTGTAAGAATTCAAATATTTCTCATTATTTCATAAATTCTAAAATTACAGAGCAAAGCTCATATGGGAGGGTAGTTAATAATTCAGTTGCTCAGTGCAAAGAGCTCAAACGATTCTAAGTTCCCCTTTCTAGAACCTTAAATTGAAGGAACTTTATTGAACTGAACTTTAAGATTTAAAACTACTTCAAATTTCCAATGAAATCAAATGTTTACTGAGTAATACTACATACAAAACTGATTCCCTTAGCATTTAAGTATATAACATCTTTTTAATGGACCACAATATTAGGGAAAAACAAATGTGAACATAAGTAGAACCTTCAAAACATATACAGTTAATTCCTTTGGGAAACTACTAAAAATTTTCATGTGTTAAGAAAAATGTTTCTCTGTGTTTACTCAGCAAGAAAACAAATACTAACTACTCAACAAATATTCCCATTATGTGAAGAATATAAAAATTTTAAGTTGGGTTTACCATCCTTCAATTTATCTTGAGTATAAAGTGGAAACCAAAGATGACAAATACAGACAGAATGTCATAAAAATTATTAGTTTTTTAGTGCCTCCTATGGGCTAGAGTTTATATTATACAATTTAAGGACACTGTCATTTAATTCTCAGAGCTACACCCTTCAAAAACACAAGTATTAATAATCCTGTCTGCAGAGGAGGTTCACAGAGCTTAAGTAACTTCCCCAAAATCACAATACAAGTGAGTGAATACCAGGTTTAAAAAATTCACTCTCTTCGACCCAGAAGAGTGAATTATTCATTCTGCAAGATCATGCTGTTTTAGAAGAAATTGTTAAATTTGTATTAAATGTAAAGAATTTTTACTATAGGGGCGCCTGGGTGGCTCAGTTGGTTAAGCGACTGCCTTCGGCTCAGGTCATGATCCTGGAATCCCGGGATCGAGTCCCATGTCGGGCTCCCTGCTCAGCAGGGAGTCTGTTTCTCCCTCTGACCCTCTTCCCTCTCATGCTCTCTATCTCTCATTCACTCTTTCTCTCTCAAATAAATAAATAAAATCTTTAAAAAAAAAAAAAGAATTTTTACTATATAATTTCAGAAGGAAATATAATTCTACTGGCAAATATAATTCTATAGCATAACAAAAGCATTTACTTTTAATTCATAGTGCTTTGATTTTTCTAACTGGAATCTTCTTCTAAAGTAGCATTATTGGGACACCTGGGTGGATCAGTCGTTAAGCATCTGCCTTCGGCTCAGATCATGATCCCAGGGTCCTGGGATCGAGCCCCACATCGGCCTCCCTGCTCAGCGGGAAGCCTGCTTCTTCTTCTTCCCCTTCCCCCGCTTGTGCTCTCGCTCAAAAATAAATAAATAAAAATTTTAAAAAATAATAAAGTAGCATTATCTCAGGGCGCCTGGGTGACTCAGTCAGTTAAGTGTCAGACCCTTGATTTTGGCTCAGGTCATGATCTCAGGGTTGAGAGATCGAGCTCCGTGGCCAGCTCCGTGCTGAGCATGGAGCCTGCTTAAGATTCTCTCCCTCCCTCTCCTTCTGCCCCTCTGCCCCCACCCTCTCTCAAATAAATAAATAAATAAATAAATAAATAAATAGTAGCATTATCTCATTTGAAGTGCTGACACTTCTAGAGACCTTTCAAAACTTACATTAATTTATGAGATATGTTTATCAAATTTTGTAAACTAATTCCAAGGGGCAACAAAAAGATCGCTTTATTTGGGAAATACAATTAAATAGCAGGTCTCCTTCATAAATATGCAACACCACCTTGCCTACATTTTAAAGTATACTATTTCTCAACATTAAGAAATCTACTAGTGCCTCCCTAATGACAACTTTTTCTGTTAACTTATACTATGTACCTATCATCAAAATTTAAAAGATTTGGAGTGTTACTCAACCATTACAAAGATTGAAGCTCTGATACATGCTACTACATGAATGAACATTGAAAACATTGCTAAGTGGGCGCCTGGGTGGCTCAGTTGGTTAAGCGACTGCCTTTGGCTCAGGTCATGATCCTGGAGTCCAGGGATCGAGTCCCACATCAGGCTTCCTGCTCAGCGGGGAGTCTGCTTCTCCCTCTGACCCTCTTCCCCCTCGTGCTCTCTCTCATTCTCTCTAATAAATAAATAAAATCTTAAAAAAAAAAAAAATTGCTAAGTCAAAGAAGCCAGACACAAAATACCAAATACTATGTAATTCCATTTGTATGAAATGCCTAGAACAGGCAAATCCATAGAGACAGAAAGTAGATTACCAGGTGCCAGGAGCTGGAGGAAGGGGGGGAATGGAGAGTGACAACTAATGAGCACAGAGTTCCTCTGGGGATAATGAACCTGTTCTAGAATTAGTGATGATGATTGCACAACTTTGTGAATATACTAAAAACCAACGAGTTGTAACACTTTAAAAGGGAGAATTTTATGGTATGTGTATTATATCTCAATAAAAGAAAATTAAATGGTTTTAAATATATATCATACATTAAGTGTGAATGAGCTATATATGTATGTGCTTAGAATATAAAATCTATATAACTACCAAGATTATCTGCCTCAGTTTACTAAATCCCATTTTTCACCATACTAAGTGAAAGGCTCTATTTCACATGTGTACATCTTCCTTAAAAGTAAAAAATTCTAAAAAAAAAAAAAAAAGTAAAAAATTCTACCTAGAAGTATTACAATCCCTAGGGAATCAAAAGGAACAACAACCACATACTTATATTTAGCAACTAAATACTTTTTTAAATTTACCTGAGTTAGTTCAGTATCAGAACTTAAGACAAAAACATATTAGCATATGCTAATGAGGAATTTTTAACATGCAATACCACATAAAAGCACCTACAGAGTTACAGGATCAATTTATAAAATCATTGTTTTGAGAGGATTCTTCCTTTAAGTAGTATTTGCCTCTGAACCACCAAAATAAGAAGATAAAAATTTGTAAGCTAAGTTATAAGGAAATCAAAGGTTAGAAACAAAATAAAAAACACAAGGATGATAACAAGTACTTACTAATTTGTTTTCCTGCATGTATATTCTTTGTAATTTCAGACACCCCTTAGCTATGACGATCATGCCTTCATCTGAGATCTTGTAACACTGGCCGAAATGTATATCTTTGAGTTCTCTGCACTTTGAGCCCAGCTGTAAACAAAGAGATTTGACTGAATGCTCAGAAAATAACAAAGATAACATATTCCTAGTGGGATTTCCATATAATTTTTTTAAATAGCCATACCAAAGTTAAATATAAACTACTTTTAAAATAAAACAGAATGTAGGCAATCTATAACTTAAAACAGTATTCTGTAAGCCTTATCATCTTCTAATTACTTCATTGCTTCAACTACCTCATACTATATGCCTACCCAAGGTGCCTAGATTCCTTAACATTAACCTCAAATTAACATTTTTATTTCTCTTGAATCAGTTATATTGTTACACTACTGGGGCTCAGGTCCAAGGAATAAAACAAAGGTCCAAGAAGTGAGACAAAGTCTAATGAGTGAAAGAATATTTAATTCATTAGACTCTACTTCTACTTCTGATTACCCCAATAATTTCTCTCCATCAGCTCACCTACTTTGTGAAAGAGAAAAAAGTCTGAATATGCTATAGATAATATTTTAGAGTACTTACAAAGGCAGTGCATAAACTGAAAACCAAAGGTCTAATGATTTCCCGATTGAAATCCCAAATGTACCTTAAATAGTTACTGAACAGGTAAAATGTTCCCATTAAAACCATTAAGTATCATAAAGAACAAATTACATACATTTCTTTTCAAAAGCTACAGTGGAGATTAGATGATCAAAGCAAACTATAAATGAATGCTGTTTTATGAGTATTAGAATATGAATAGAGTCATTTTAGAGCGAAAATAAACTTATGGGGCACCTGGGTGGCTCAGTCGTTAAGCATTTGCCTTCAGCTCAGGCATAGTCCCAGGGTCCTGGGATTGAGCCCCACATCGGGCTCCTGCTTGGCAGGAGGCCTGCTTCTCCCTCTCCCACTCCCCCTGCTTGTGTTCCCTCTCTCACTATGTCTCTGTCAAATAAATAAATAAAATCTTAAAAAGCAAATAAAAAATTTATTTAGAAAAAGCCTACTATCAAATATTATCTAAAAAATTACATTAAATAATAAAACTCAATGTCAGCAAGGATTCAAAGTGTGCAATATACCACTGGTAAGAGTGTAAATTAATACTAAAAACTTCCTGGAGGGCTACTCAGCATAAATGAAAAAATATGACTCAGCTTTACCAAAAAATTAACTACAGAGGGATAGATAAATGGATAGATTATGTGATAAAGTAAGCATACTAAAATGTTAATTATAGGGTAGGCGGATGGGTTAAATGGTGATGGGGTTTAAGGAGTGCACATGTCATGATGAGCACAGGAAGATGTATGGAACTGCTGAATTACTATATTGTACACCTAAAACTAACATAATGCTGTATGTTAACTGCAATTAAAATAAAAACTTAAAAGAAATAAAAAAATGTTAATTATACAATCTAGGTAGTGGATATATAGGTGTTCACTGTAAAATTCTTTCGAATTTTCCATACATATAAATTTTTTAATAATAAACTGTTGGAATTAAAGTATTTGGCTAAGATTTAGTTATAAGAAATTAGGAAAAGGGATTTTTTTAATAGTAAAGTACAGAAAACAACCTAAAGATACAAATTACAGTGTTTTCAGAAAACTGAATATTATACAGCCATTAAAAATGAAGTACACACCTGACAAAAATGAAAATTTTACACAACTTTTTAGAATATAATCCAATTTTTGTTAACAAATTATGTATAAATATACATATGTGCATATGTGTATAGAAAGGAGACTGAAATTACACCAAGGTGATAACAGTGTTTTCTGATTAGTGCAGTAATGCATGTTTTTTTTTCTGCCTATCAATCTTCTCACGTCTTTTTAAAAATAAATGTTACTTTAATGATTAAAGAAAACTTTCAAGTTCTGGTTTCAAGTAAAGCAATGATATGTGAATGCAGTTATTTTTCCAGGAGCACTGATAGAGTTACACTATGTTATTTTCATCTAGGTCACACTATAACCAACTACATATTCCACTAGAAATGTAAACTCCATGAAGACAGAAGTTTGCCTGATAACTAACTATCCCTGCAGCCCAGTGTCTCATGCTTAACTTAGCTGATACTCAGTAAATATTTGTTGAACGAATGAAAAGCCTAATCCTGGTTCTGTGACGTAAAGAGGCCTCTTTGAGAAAAATGGACGAATGTGGGAAACCATGATTATGGTCTCATATACCACCATGTTCCAGTTAATTCAGGAATTCTAAATTGGGTCCACAGATAGACTTCAGGGATTCCAGGAAAGCAGATGAGAAAAAGGAGTACATTTTAATTTTCATACTATCCTCTAAATGAACTCTAGCCTTTGCTTCACTTATTAATGTAAACAAAAAAATCAGAGTATTTTAGCAGTACATATGACTTTGTGTACTGTAATATTACTGCTGTTGCAGATATCATGGAATACCATTTTTGTTCATCAGTGTTCATTATATTCATTAGATCCACTACCAGATCTTATAATGCATAAAAGCACATATATTTCAAGAATAAATGTACAATGGCACATTACTTACACCTAAAAAGGCTGACTCCAAAGCCAACAGTGGGGAAAATGTAAAAGCAACTTGATAATCATAACAAAATTCCTCATAGGCTCACACACATCTGTCACTGAGGATGCAGTCGGCATTAAAAAAACCAGGATTCTTTAAACTCTCTTTAAAGAGTAGTTAACCGGGGTGCCTGAGTAGCTCAGTTGGTTAGGCGACCGCCTTCGGCTCAGGTCATGATCCTGGAGTCCCGGGATCGAGTCCCACATCGGGCTCCCTGCTCAGCAGGGAGTCTGCTTCACCCTCTGACCCTCCCCCTCTCATGCTCTATCTCATTCTCTCTCTCAAATAAATAAATAAAATCTTAAAAAAAAAAAAAGAGTAACCATCAGATCACCTCCCCATCACTGCAAAGTCCACTCTCCCACAAAGCAAAAAGACGAGTTCACTGGGGTCAGTAAACACAGGGTTTTTGGCCTGGGGTACACCATGCATAGCTGACAGCAAAAGCATACTGCTAAAAACGTGGGGATGATGTGAAAGTTTATAAGGTGAAAATGAAGAAATTCAAATAAATAATTCTATAAAATGTTCCAGGATGAAATGGTATGGACTGAAAGGGCTCACTTACATGTCCAGCACAAATGACAAAAACAGACCCATGGCAAGGCAAATCAACACAAAATGTCAGAATTAAAGAGTACAAAAAAAGATTCTACAGACTTCCAGAAACAAACAGATTGCATACAAAGGATTTGGATTTTAGGCTTCAAACTTCTTAAAGACAGCACTGAGAGAAGGTAACAGAGCAATGACATCAAATCCTGAAGGAAAAGCACTTCAAACCTAGGATCCTATACTCAGGATTCAGACTATGAACTAAGTGTGAGGACAGAACAGAAACGTTTTCAGACATGCAAGTTCTCAAAAGATTTACCTCCCATATATTATCAGGAAGCTACTAGAATCTGTGCTCTACAAAACATAAGAGTACACCAAGAGAAAGAACATATGACATCTAATAGGATATCTAATACAACTACAAGATCAGGAAAACCTTAAAGAAAATGGTAAAGGTTAAGATACTCAGATGATCATTAATGCAAGACACTTGTATGCAAAAAGTCCAAAATGGTGCCTTCAGACTATCCCCAGAAAATCTGCTATAAGAAGATATATTTGACTAAGTATCTACATATCGATATACTAATGCAGCTGTGGAAAAATTTTTAGCTCCATTTGTGTTAAGACTATTAAAAATAAGTAAACTAAAGGGGATGAAAAGACATTTATTAATTGCAATAACAAAATTCCAGAGAGAAAAAAAGGTAGGTACATAATTATAAAGTACAAATACCAAATACTTATTTAATCAAAATTATAAAAGAATTATTTGGGAAGATAAGAAAATAGGATCCTAGACAAGGAAGGGTAAATAAGCTAAATTCTCATCTTCCATAGTAAGGAATCAGCCTAGATAGTCTAAAATAGATAAATCAAGAAAATACAGATGGGCTTGGAAGGGAATTGCTTCCTTCTGAAGAAAGTCCAATTTGTCTAATTCCTTGTCTCTCCACTGATTAGTTTGTGTTTAATGAACTGGACATGTTCAGCTCATCTCTATCCTTCTTCCCCGGGGAAACAAACTGCCCATGGCAACTGAGCATCTCTTCTACATTTGCGGGCCACTCTGCTGGTCTGGCCTAGGTGATGATGAGTGGGTCTGCTGGCCAAACTCCGGAGTTAACAAGCCCATTTAACTCTATTTCTAAGCAGTATTCTCCAATCTAGCCTTTCTGAGTAATAAAATTGATTTGATATTTTTCCTCTGTCTCTATTCCTTTCTCCTTTTAATTTGTTCAGATCCTAGGAAGTTAAGAGGCCTCAACACTTAGAGCCCCAACCGGGATCACTGAAATATACAACAGAATCTACACAGAAGGAGTGAATGAGGGGTGCCTGGGTGGCTCAGTCAGTTAAGCGTCTGCCTTCGGCTCAGGTCATACTCTCAGGGTCCTGGGATCAAGCCCCACATCGGGCTCCCTGCTCAGTGGGGAGTCTGCTTCTCCCTTTGCCCCTCCCCCCCCGCTCATGTGCTCAAGCTTTCTCTTAAATAAATAAAACCTCAAAAAAAAAAAAAAAGGAGTGAATAAGGTATCTAGTAGGGTCTTAGACATTAGCTTGTGTAGACAGGTTGTCAAGAGTCTCATGTTAACACATGTAAGTCACACTGCTGCAGCCTACAAGAACGTTTTAAGCTGATTACCTGGCATTTTGACCTTAACAAGTGTCTTTGATGGACTTATACACAAACAAGTGACTTTCCATATAAGCAGGGGCTACATGGGTACCCATACACAAATAAGAACGATGTGGATGGCTTCAACAGACATTAGCAGTAGGAGAGCCCCAGAAACTTATCAGAAAAGAGTGTCTCAGGGAATAATTACTGTCATTTACTCTCACTGCAGAAACTGATGTTCTATTCTAGACATCATCACTGGGCATGAGAGACAAGACTG